CAAGAACTGCAGCAAAGAGCTGGTAAGGCTGGGAGGCTGGAAAGTCCATAAGGGTGCTGACTTGCTTAAGGGCTGGTCTTGGACCGCTACCCTCACGCTCCCGCAACAAGACCACTAGTCTGACTCAGGTTCATTTAGAGCAGGGGTGTCAAACATGCGGCCCGGGGGCCGTGTCAGCCCCCCCAAAAAAGGGCTTCCATCAGGCCTGCAGGGGAACTGGCCATCTCCTGCTTCCAGTTCTGCTGCTGCTGCTGCATCGTAGCTTGCTTCACCAGACTCTCTTAATCACGCAGCCATTTCATGCTTTAACCTGGGTCCTAGACTCACAACTCTGAGCATAAGATTTCTGCCGTGAATGTCAATAAAATCAAAAGCAGGTTTGCAGCTTACAGAGCTAATGTTTTAAGCACGTTTTTATTTTAAGTAAAAAAATAATCCTTTATAAAGTTTATATCTCCGCTACCTGACATTACATTTTACGACACACAGGGCCCAGCCCAACGAGGTCTCATTTCTGTCAGATCCGGCCCTCATAACAAATGAGTTCGACACCCCTGATTTAGAGGGTATGTGGCTCCTTGGTAGAGCATCTGCTTGGCATGCAGATGGTCCCAGGTTCAATTCCCAGCATTTCCCACTAAAGGGACCAGGCAGGAGGGGATGCGAAAGGCCTCAGTGGCAGAGCAGTGCTTGGCATGCAGAAGGTCCCAGGTTCAATCCCCGGGATCTCCAATTGAAAGGACCAGGCAGGAGGGGATGTGAAAGACCTCCGCCTGAGACCCTGGAGAGACATAGGCAGGGGCTGTGGCTCAGTGGCAGAGCCTCTGCTTGGCATGCAGAAGTTCCCAGGTTCAATCCCTGGCACCTCCAGTTAAAAAGGACCAGGCAGGAGGTGAGGTGACACATCTCTGCCTGAGACCCTGGAGAGACCCACTTTCAGCCTGAGTAGACAATATTGACCTTGATGGACGGATGGTCAGACTCAGTATAAAGCAGCTATAGCTCTTCAATAAAGTATAACCTTTCTGATAAGCATGTACTCCGTTGTTGGCTGTGGAACCTGACATTACCTTCATTCAGGGTTTTTTTTGTAGAAAAAGCCCAGCAGGAACTCATTAGCATAATATGTCACACCCAACAGCAGGAACTCATTAGCATATTAGGCCACACTCCTGACAGCACAGCTCATTAACACATTAGGCCACAACCCCATGTTACCAGAAATGTGATCATCCAGCCACACCCACCTTTTCCTAGTTATTCTGTTTACCTTGTTTGTTGTCAAAACCCAGGGCCTTTTCTTGTAGCAGGAACTCCTTTGCATGTTAGGCCGCACACCCCTAATGTAGCCAATCCTAATGAGTTTCTGCTGTTGGGCGTGGCCTATTATGCTAATGAGTTCCTGCTGGGCGTGGCCAACTCGGGAGCCAGCCGGAACTCCGTTCCTGTGCGTTCCTGCCCAAAAACAGCCCTGGCTTCATTTGTGTCTCTACAAGTATGTGAGCACGGCCTCAGCACAGACCTATTAAACATTCACATAAAAGTTACCCAGAGTGCCGGAGGTTCAACTGTACATTTCCGAGATGGCTCCAACCTACCGATCGAGGAGGTACTTGAGGTACTCGGAGCAGTCTTGCTGCGCCCCGCGAGTAAACCAGGGAGGCCACGAAGCCAAGAGGAAGTTTTCGGGGGAGATGGCCGGCCGCTGGCAAGGAGTGAATCGGAAGGGAAAGCAGAAAAATTAGAGGAGGCATTTGAAGCACACCCGAGCAGACAGATGGGGAAACTAGCCCTGGCCAGTGGGAGAAAGCCACGTCTGGTCCCTACGGATTTAGAATAGACCAGCTTAGCCCAGGTCCAGTAGGGCTTGGCCATAGTTAGTACTTGGTTGGCAGACCACCAAGGAAGTCCAAGGTTGCTACGCAGAGGCAGGCAATGGCAAACCACCTCTGTATAGCTTTTCCCTTGACCTAGATGGCCCAGGCTAGCCTGATCTCATCAGATCTCAGAAGCTAAGCAGGTGTACATCTTTTGCCCTGACCCGGATGGCCCAGGCTGCCTGATCTCATCAGATCTCGGAAGCTAAGCAGGGTCGGCCCTGGTGAGTACTTGAGTGGGAAACCACCAAGGAAGTCCAGGGTTGCTACGCAGAGGCAGGCAATGGCCAACCACCTCAGTACAGCTTTTGCCCTCACCTGGATGGCCCAGGCTAGCCTGATCTCATCAGATCCTGGAAGATAAGCAGGGCGAGTCCTGGTGAGTACTTGGATGGGAGACTGCCAAAGAAGACCGTGGTTACTACGCAGAGGCAAGCAATGGAAAACCGCCTCTGCTCATCTCTTGCATTGAAAGCCCCAGGAGGGGTCAATCGTAAGTTGGTTGCGACTTGACGGGACATATTATTATTAAGCTAAGGGCTCTCACTACACCTTGTAGCGGTGAGATCCATGGTGAAGTATTCACTGCACAAAGTATAGCTTCCTGTTTTCTCTCTATAGCTCGTGGGGCCATTTGCTTAACTTCTTGGATGCCTTGTAGGCAGGGGTCATTTCCTGCAGGAGCGCACAGGAGCAGAGCTCCGGCAGTAAAGAGCACAGGGGGCGGGCACATGCAACAAGCCCCACCCCCTGCTCCCAGCAGCCCTCAGTCAGAGCAAGAAGCAGCCAGGTAAGTTGCAGGGGGTGTTGCCTTCTGACACACTTCTGGTGATGTCAGGGGGTGTGGCATATGCAAATAAGTTATGCTAATGAGCTCCTGCACCTCTTTTTCTACGAAATGACCCCTGCTTGTAGGCCTATTTTTGTAAGCTAGTGACCCAGGGCCTTTTTATGGGAAAGAGAGAAGCTTTTTGAAGAAATAAAAGTTACCTGACTGTGCTCTAGGAAAGCAAACAGCCACTGGAGTTTTGCCATCAAGGGCTGGGAGTTGTTCTCTGCCAAACTGAGCACCGAGCGCCTGAAGCTGGAAACACAATTGTGCAAAAAGAAACAGTCACCAAAACATACCCCATTTATCTTCGAAGGCAAAGACTGACCCGATGGGAGACAAGGAGATAGACCTGTTCCCCAAGCACCTGCCCGATACCCTACCAGGGTATCCCCAACGTAGCGCCCAGGGGCACGATGGTGCCTACCGACACCTTTCCTGGCCCCCAACAAATGTTTTAAAAAGTGGGTGGGGTTTCTGCCCACCAGGGCTATTGATTAGTGGTGGGTATACAAGAAAATATTTTATAACAATATGTTGGTTTTAAAAGGCTGTTGAACACAGCATCTGCCTGAAATGTTGAGGAGAACTGAGAGTTATGCATAACCTCACTCTTTGACGTTTTGTGGCTGGCTCCGCCTAACCGTGGCAGCCATTTTATGGTTGGCTCTGCCTTTTGCGGCTGCCATTTTGTAGTAGTGCCTACCACCTTATGTCAGAATTCAAAAGGTGACGAGCAAAATGAAAAAAAAAACCATGAATGGTGCATACCATTCACAAATGTACAAAATGCAGTTTGTGATGTTTGTTTGGAATGTGCACAGTTCCCAAATGTGCAAAACCCAGTATCAATAAATCATAAGAAAAATAGGATTTTTCTTATGATTTATTAGAGTAGGGTCGTATGCACCTCAAATAGACATTAATTATTGCATTTACAACTGGTTTGACTGTTGATACTTTGGGGTCTGATGTTCACGGTTGTTTTATCCTTTTGTTCATCACATTAGACTGTGTTTATCATTATTATGTTGTCGAAGGCTTCCACG